TCTAGAATATCCGTCTTCTCTAGGAAAAACGCATTAAAAAGATAGCGTTTCAACACGTTTATAAAAAACGAATTTTTCAAGACACATGCAGCAAAAGAAACGCGTTTTAGCGCGTTTTTTTAAGTAGATACCGTTTTTTACTTATAAAATGTATTTAAATACATGTCAAAAAAAACCTCGTTCGAATGCATAATATTAAACGCGTTCGAATGATGTTTTTGATAGCGTTCGTTGGGAAGAAAAATGCGTTTTCTTATCACGCGTTCAAACGTTGTTTTCAGTTGACGTTTTAAGTTGAAAAAACGCGTTGCAAATAAAAACGATGCGTTTCAACGCGTTGTGAATTGAGAAGAATGCGTCTCAACGCGTTGAAAATAGAACAGGATGCATTTAAACGCAAAAATAGCGTTTTTTTTTCTAAAAGTTGGTGTTCAAACGCCAACTTTTATAAATTTTTTTTTCGTGGGCGTTAACATCAAAATGTTAGACAATTACCTGTTTATGGATCATTCGAAACAGCCTACAATTTTGTTTCTTTGACAAGACGAATGATATTAATGCTGATATAAGGAATGAGATATACAAGATAAAAAGATTCGAAATAGTTGTCATGTAGAAAACTCCGAAATCATCATGATAGAATACAAAATGTTCTTCTTTCGATAATCTCTAACTTGCTATCCAGACAAGTTGTACGTTTGAGAGTAATTCTTCTGCTAGCCTGCATTCATACATTCAAATTTATACTTACACCCTCTATATTTTCGTACAAGGTCCTACAATTCGCTCATTGACTGCTTTATGAAGTAAGAGGATGAAACGACATACAAATCTCTTTTCTTTCTTTGATCACACTGTCGCATGTAAGAAATAGATATTCTATTCCATCTTATTGAAGTAATAGAAATGAGAGGAGTAAACTAATAAAAATGAATACTTCAAAGAAAACATGTGTTTCTGTTTCAGTACGTCCTCTGAAATAGGAATTTAGGTTATTTCGAGTCCTTCTGTAACTTTTGAGGGTTTTTAAATCATATAATAAATACTATTCTAATTTATTAGAAGCTGAGATTTATAACAGATATATTACGATTTTTCTCGATTGTCCTAAAGTTGCTTCATATTAGTGACTCCATAGTGAATCATGCAATTTAATGCGTGCACTTGGTCAATATATCGTGAAGCATTCAAAGCGTATCTAAATTACTAGTAGATATTGCCATGAATTTAACAGAAATTGCGAAAGATTTTCATCGAATGTAACTAGAGAATAATGTGTTTTTAAACAACTCGTATTTTTTTTCATCTTGTAAAAAATTATAGATGGTGTAGGCTCGACAGTGCAAAGATTGAGCAACGAAAATAGACTTTTTTTTACAAACCGAAGTTCCTGAAACTCACTACAAAAATTTATGCATCTTTTTCAAATCTTATGCTTCTTTTAGTTCCTGATATCGTTCTACAAAGGGTAGTTCTAGTTACCGGTACGGGATGGGAAGATATGGAATCACCTATTGTATAAAACCGTTGTAAAATAAATTGGAATCATTATTTTTGATACCTTTTCATGATGACCGTCACAAAACTTAATATTATCTTCTGATATTTTTGAATATCTTAATTACTGCTATTATTATATCTTTACATAGGTTTCCTTAAAAATCCAAAATTGTATATGATAATTTCTTCACTGGATTCTATTTGTCAGAAGATTCAGTATTTGTCTTTCTACAAAATACTATTGATCTTGGTTTAAAACAAATAGAAAAGAAACTCCTTCTATGAATGTATTCTCTCGTTTAACAATATTTCTAGTGTACTTTGTATCCAATTTTAGTAATTTGTTATATCAATGTAAAGGAATCTTTAGAAATATATGATTAATAAGTAGATAAATTCTTCTTTTGCCAAGATTCATGAAAAATTGTCTTTTTGATTGTCATTGAAACACAAATAGAATTCAGTAAAATGAATCAGCTTACAATATAAAATTTGAATATTATCAAAAGAATCGTTTTATTCTAGTAGCTTGAAATGACCTAAACTTCTGTCCCAACATCATAGTTTAGGATCAGACCCTGGCAAAATCTGCTGAAAGACTATGTAATGGAGAATCAAATCATAAGTGAAAAGTGGTTCAGACACAGGAGCCAACGCATGGGTAAATATACTTAATATGCACTGACTCTCAGAAAATAGCCTAGAGAAAATTTTCTTTGTTGTTGTTTTAAATGAAAGTTATTAGTATCTTATGGAGAATCAAGTGCTATTTCTACTAAGAAAAAGTTTACTATCATTTACTATATCTCAATTTAGATGAGTGGAAAACAAATATATTGTAAAACATTTGTCACATTTGACAGCTTTATTTTAAAAAAAGGTTTAGATACACGGAAATTCGATATGTCGTTTTATTTTTGTTGCTTATAGATATAGTGTTTAGTAATGTTTAGAAGATTTGAATGACGTTAAGTGAACATTCATTTTAAAATGTTGGTTATTGTACTACTCATCGTCTTCATTTTTGTTTTCATCATGAAGTCGATCATTGTTGATTTGTTCGACGAGCAAATAACGATTATCATTGATGTCAATCCAATATTTGTTCGTCTCTAATCGCCGTTCATAGGTCGACATTTCTTTTTCAAATGCAAGAACAATACGTGCTCGTTCTAAATGCCTATTTTCAAGAAACCAATGATAGTGTTAATAAAAATCGAGAAAAAAATTTAATGAACCAGAGTTTTGTTGCACTTTTGATTACGTTTCTGTATGTGTCACCCATCATAGCAATCAGTAGATTAAGCAAGAGAACGGTAACAACAATAACATAGAAAATAAACAATGAAACACTGGCAAATGGAAATGCTGTTTCAACGTAATGACCAAAATCAAACTGGCTCAAAAGACCCAGAAAACATTGTTTCACATTCAAAATGTAACCTTGAAAGCCTAGAAAAAAAAAGAAATATATCATATCAAATAAAAACTTATGATTATCTTCTTTAGGTTTTATTATGTTAGATTCATTCAGTGTACCATTATGATTGAATAGAATGAAAAATGCTTGCGAAAAACCAGCAAGAAAAATAATATAGATAATAAAAAATCGGAGGACATCATTCAATAACATTTTATAAATCATCACAACAAATGGACCAGTGACTCGAAACGGCATGATAAAAAATAGCATGTATCCCCAACCAATGAGTGAGGCACATGCAAGAACGATGGCTTGAGTTTTGATTTCGAATAGGTAAAGAATAGTAACAATAATAATACAAATTGAAAATGAACATGCCAACAAATTTTCCAGAAAAATCGATCCCTATAAATTTTATTAGCTATTCAGAGTACGATGAAGTAATAAAAAAAAAAGACTAACACTATCTTGTAAATAATCGTATAATCCGATACTCGACATTTCTTTTATTTCCAGTCCACCTTTCCACAACGCTCCTGCCAGGACAATGACACGCCCAATATTACAAATCCATGGATAGCTAACAGTCAAATATTTGACACCAATCGTCGCTGTCTTATTATATTGATCCTCTGTCTAGAAAAAACAAATGAAACAAATATATTGCATAACTACAACTAATGTAGAATTGAACTGAGTCACCATTTCTATTCGTGTCTGTGCTAGAATTGTTGTAGCAAGAAAAATGAGTAGATAAATGAAGGTGACTATAAATCGTCGTATTAATATTCGATATCCAAATTGTTCCCATTTTTTGTCGATTAGAGATATAATAAATGGATGCATCAATTCAACGTGATTATTCTTGAGAATCATTTCGAGAACACTGAACTGTTTCTTCTTGTTCTTAATATATATATATATGATTAAATAATAAATAGGAGATCGAAACTACTTCGAATATATTTACCTTTTCTATCAAATCGAGATCAAGTTGATCGAGAGGATGAAGTAAACAAGAAATATCTCCATACGCCCATAAGAGAATTTTACGTTCATCAAGTAAAAATGACAACATTTTAGCACGACCCAATTTAGCGGCTAGAGTCATTGGTGTGAGACCATCTTTATTCATACGATTCCATAGTAGAACTTCTTGTTTATTCGAAATTTCTGTCATATTTGTATCATATGTATCGAATGATTCCGTTAGATTTTTATCTCTTAACCACCGCTCCTTAAATTTTGTATAAATTTCGGGTAAATTATGGATGACAAGCATGTGTAAAATAGTATTTCCATTGCTGTCTATCTAAATTAAGATAAAAACAAAAAATGATCTTTGAAGAATAAGGATGTATTCTACTAACTATGTCCATAGAGGCGCCATATTTAAGTAGTATTTCGACAATATTCCACTGGTTAGTACAGCAAGCAAATCCAAGTGGAGTTTCGCCATAGTACGATGCTTGACCCCTGAAAATGATATTACTTCGAAGATTCAATGACAATAAAAACGACGTACATTTTAAAAAAGTAACCTTGTGCAGTGGCCGTCAATAGTTGCTCTCGAGAGGACTGAGTATTTATGTCGCTGAGTAGCCATTCAACCATTGTCGCATTACGATTGATAATGGCAATGTGAAGAATATTCTCACCATAATATCTCTGAAACACTCAAACATTTTTATTTGTAGATATGAAAAAAAAAAGCATCAAAACTTCTGTACTGATTGATTATAAATTTGTGTCACAATATGTGGAAACTGTGTGATTAAATATCGAGCTATATCTAAATGAGCTTCTGTTCCATATAAAAATAGCATATGAATAGGACATTCACCTACGGGACCTCTAATATTGATAACATCGGGATTGACATTAATAATTTGCTTTAAAGCCTGTTTATCTGCTTTACGTATTGCAGTCCAAATGGTATCATTTTTATGCATTAACTCAGTTTGACGTTCAATATCCGTATGATTCGACTTCAAATTGATATTCTTTTCTACTAAAATTACATAATCATTTACTAATGAACATTAAATGAATTCATTTACCGTCGAAGTTAGGTAAATAATGGAATAATGTTAAACTCTTGTTTGTTCTCATCTCTGTCTAGTTTTGGTTCGTGTGAATAAGTATTGGCATCAATAAAAGTATGTCTTACTGATATAATTCATCTTTCAACGCAGAATAAATGATACAGGAAACAAAACGCAGTTGTCATATATAAAAACGCTTAATAAATGTCCGCTGTCGCATTTTTCTTTCATTCGTTTTTGGCATTTATCCGCAAGACACAGTCGCATCGATTATTTTATCAATCAAGCAACGTCGCATGTTCCGATGAAAAATAAATAAATAAAAGTTCAATAATATTAGAAAAAGAGTATATTTTTATCGAAGAAAGATCTGAACGACTAATAAATAAATAACATAAATCAATTGTTTAACAATGGAAAAGTTTCTACAAATTTGACAGACATGAAAGGTCATACCTAAACTATGGAAGCATACTCATCATAGTTGTTATTTACACTAGCATTGCCATAATTAAACAATTGTTGCACTTAGTTGACATCGATTATGTCAAGAGAGTCATTGTGAGAGACGATATTTTTGTCAATCATACAATGATTTCTAGCAGGAGTCTTTATTCACATTTATGAATCATTAAATTAAAAAATGAATATAAATTATATATTATATTTATCTCTTGAAATGAAATACATATTAAAATCTTTGTATTTATAAAATGAAGATAAATAAATCATTTATCTTGGAAAAATATTGATAAATTAAAGATAAAACAAGATAGTTTTTCTATTTTTATGCACGACAAAGAAGCAAATATATGCTATAACAACATGGCATCTTGATTGTACATCCATGACAGAAAATAGTTTGATCGATTGATACTACAGTACAAAGAACAAGAAGATTAGACACTCACCATGAGTTGATACCGACGCTCTTGTTTACTTTTTTTTAACAATCGTATCATTATAACTTAGGTTATCTTAGTGGAATAGACATTGATATTAGCTCATGATGGAAATTATTTTTGACTCAAGAGTGTCGTCTAGACGAGACTTGTTAAACCACTTTATTTTCTTTTTAAACATGAAACAAATTCTAGTCTTTGTTGCTGATGTACATAATGTGTATAACTGAGTTTCAATAGTTTCTTTAAAGAATATAATTGTCTTTTGTCGATGACGATCGAAGTTTACTTGCGAAGTTTACCATTCAAATGTAGAAATTTTTCATGGAAATAATACAAATAAATGGACCATAAATTGATTAGTTAGTTAGGTTCATATCTTTGCTTTACTTATTCATAGGTTGTATGAAAGGATCTTTTATTCTTTTTAGAAGAGCTCATAAGGAGATAATATTGCAAGTTTATCATAAAATCATGCGTAGTAATACTTATATATTACACCATCTTACTGATTAGATGTTATTAAATGTATTTATATTAGAACAAAGTTAGCGTATGAGTACAGTCTTCCACGATTGGAATGATTTGTATATCTACTTGTTTATATCAGAGTGTCGAATGTCACTGTTGGACCTTTTTCCTTATTTTTATTATTTCTGTTAATATAACCAGTCCATCTGCCACAAAAAGCATATATTACAAAAAACAAAACATCAACAAATATGTATGTTCCTCCTTCTCCTATTTCATTCTTGGTCTTCGTCTGCATAAATCAGATAAAATACCGTATAAAGAAAAAGAACGATGTCAATAATACGATACGATAGAAGAAAAAAGGAACTGTCTTGTATCCGAATATGTCCCTTCTAGTATAACAATTGTGTCCCGCTCACAAGAATCTTAAGATAGAAAGAATAAATTCATTTTTGAAAGCATATAGTGAGAAGAAGAAAAAACAAAAAAAATTATAGTCAAATAAACAAGCATGTATTAAGTAATTCATAATTGTAAGGAAATTATCTGTGAACGTTCAGAAATTTAAAAATCAGAAAAATTGAAAAAAATAAAATAGACCATTTGAGGTAAATGAGTCTCACGATGGAGTATATAATGATGAGCAACGTATAAATGAAATAGTTGAAGTGTATCAACATCGAAATAAAGTGTTCAATGTTGAAGGATGGATGTGTAGAATACGAACAATAGATGCGAGTGCACAGTAGATATTTCAAGAATAAAAATTGATTAAAATTTTATAATCCTGAGTCTATTCGAAATTGAAAATTCGATTTTTGCGAAACAAAATTAAGACTTCAATCAATTAGAACGTTCTATTGATCGATTGATACATATTGATCAGTTTGATTTTATTTTACAAAAATTAGATAATCGATATCAATTATTGTCAAATGATTTTCAAGTTTCAATTGATTATCAATTCTTCATTGATTTTTATCATACACATCGAAAATATGCGTTATTCTCGAGATTCGAACATGACGCTCACATTTTAAACTACGACATAAATTGTTTCAAATAGAGATAATGCAATTACATCAGAAATCAGTTGAAAATTAAGCAACAGATTTAATTTAATGAAAATATTTTAAATGATCTTAATCTGATGCATGGATATTTATAGGCTTTTCTATGTAATATCTCTATTTATATAGAATGCTTTTTGTAGTTCGTATGTACCATCTAGAGTCGATATTGTTCTATCATTTTGCAAAGTCAATGATAATTTTCAGTTATTTCTCTTCGTATATGCGTCATGAGATTTGAAGACGAGGTTCGTTCACCTTGAAAACAACGTATACTTTCTAAACTATAATATAATTTATTGAAAGTCTAACTTCTCATCTATCGATCCATGCGAGACCAAAGTCGATAGATATTATCGTTCAAAAGACATGAAGAAGCTAACACATATTACTTACTATAAGTTTTCAGTAGTCTTCATTTTCGTCACATAATTCACTAACTCTTATATCTTTCCTTTCTACAGAAACCATGATCGAAGAGCATTCATTGGATTTTAGTATATGGATGTTCTGCGTAGGAGTAATATGAATATGAGCATAAATCTTACTGCTTTTCAATCAGCGTTCCACTCATATCTCTTTAGAGAGATACTATAACTCAAATTGTATAGAGTTAGCCTGGTCAATAGGAAAACATAGAAGGTCAAAACGATTATTATCGATGACTGTAGTGTTTATAGTACGAATCATGTTGACGAGTAATGGCTTTTACAGTGATTATATGTGAGCATATTGAAATTCTTATCAGTTGCTCCATTTCGGTTCAGGAAGTCATCCCAATGCGTCACTTCTATTAACATGTTTCAGTAGAAAAAAAGACATCGAAGAGTTCGCAAGTCATGTGAAGAAGAAGCAGGCCGCTAAAAACTTATAGTAGGCAATATTGTTAGCTTCTTCATATCTTTTGAACGGTAATATCTATCGACTCTGGCCTTACATGGATCGGTAGATGAGATGCTATACTCTCATTACATTATATTATAGTTTAGAAAGTATACATTATTTTCAAAGTGAACTAAGCTTATCTTCAAATCTCATGACGTATATACGAAAAAAATTGACTGAAATTTTTCATCGACCTTGTAAAATGATAAAACGACATCGACTCTACAAGGTACATAAAGGTCTAGTTAATTCTCTCTTTCTGTTTGAAAGCTGTTCAAGAAATATTCACATCTATATTACTCTGAAATAGACAATAGGCGTTGATACATTTACCTAAAGAACTTTCTGACATGAACACCAAATACAGGTTGTCATGTCAATATGTTTATCTCGAACAGTATCTTTTTCTTTTAGAAAAATCAATTATTTGGAGGAGACGGTTAGAAGTTCTTAAACGATGAATCTATACTTTGAATAATCTTAATCAATGACTCTATCATTACAAAAAATGTTTTTTTTTTTATTTATATTAATTCTACATGAAACAAAATACAATAGAGAACTGTTAATGGAAATTCACTGGATTAAAATACACATCTTTATTTTAAATATTGTTGATAAAATATTTGTGCAAGTCTTTCATATCCATGTGTCGATAGATAGAAGCCATAAAATGAAATATATTCAGGATGTTCACTTAATTCTTTCCAATGTGAATATAAATCTACAAGATCACATTGATTTTTCTTAACAATTTGTTTAATGGCATCATTCCATCGTTTTATTTGTAAAGTTGGAAGAAGTTTAGGTATTCCAAGTGATGTATATATATTAACTTGTGATAAATCTGGAATATTTCCAACAAGAATTCGCGTATCATTACCTAATTTATTTCTTAATTGAGATAACATTTCATTAAGGTTTGATGTATAACTAGTTAAAATAGATCTATCATATATTTGTCAATTAAAATTATTGACAGCTAACCAAATAGTAATTACGTTTGGTTTATAATTGAATACTTTCGGTAATTGTTGATGAATTGCTTCTCTTATGGTTGTTCCACTTCGACCAAGATTGATTGTTTGTTCTGCACTAATTAATAATGCAAATTTTGGAACCCAACCATCTTTTGAAGGATTTGATGTTCCAATTCCAACAGTATCAGATGCATCTATACTAACGTAATTATCTACTTTTATTCTATGCATTGATTTTGTTTGTGATGCTCTGAATGTCAATAAATTCAATTGATTACCCATTTTGTCTTTAAGATACAGTATAGATATATAAATTTACTTTTATTGGAATATTGAGACAACTATTATTGTTAATATAACCTTAATAGTTGCTTTCAACAATATTCAAGATTGAATATGAGCTAATGGAAAAATATCTCTGTATATATATATATATATATATAATTAACATTGACTCAACAGTGCAGTGTTTTCTCTGCATGATGATGAGAATATGTAGTAAGTTCTCGTTTGTTCTTTGCCTTGCCATAGGCTGAGTGCAAAATGCATTTTTTTTCTTCGTTCTTTATCCTTCCACTTCATAGTCCCACACACTGTATATGAGTCATCATATGACACATCAACGGTTCGATCATAGAACACAAATTTATCGAGAAGAAAAAATAAAAATAATTATTTGATTCATGATGTCGCAAATCAGTAATATTGAATTGACTTTTTCTAAAAATATATTTTAAAAAAAATTGAATTTTAACAAGCCTTTTCATACAATCAATAATTTCTTATCAGTGATGAATTTTTTTCTTTAACTAAAATAAATATCTATTTCTAAAGAGTGTTTCTTCTATAATCGAATCGTTGAAATTAGTCTGATGAAATCGAATAGTTTTAGATGATTTTTTTTAGTATCAGTCTCTCTAAATCATCTATAGTTTAACGAGATATTTTTATTATATTGCCAATCAATATGAAAAAGTTTCAAGATGAACGTTTTCAAACACTTTCTTAAAAATTGTCAAATATGCTATTTAGCCATTTAATATTTTATTTAACTATTTCTTTTTAGATGTTTGAACATAATTATTTCTTCATACATGATGAATTTATTTTGTATTCCATGAAATAAAGAAACTAAAACAAACCACAATAGAATTTCATTTACCAACAAAAAACGCAGTTCATTTTAGAATGTATATTTAATTATCAAAACAAATATATATATACTGGATCTCACTAGCAAACATATTGCTATTCTTTCAAATATGACAATTTTGTTCGCCTTTTGATAACAGTACTCTTTTTATATGTATATATTTGATTTAATACAATGAAAATAAAATAGTCGTTATGACATACACTTAAGACAAAGAATAGAGCTCGCATATGATCATACTTATATAACTTAGAGAAAACGATGAGAACTATGCCGCATGTGCTATTGTATGCGTTGGATAAGATTTCATGATTCACAAAATATTTGTTCTTTTCTTTTGCCAATTTATTTCAGATAAAAACAATAAAATAGCAGTCGTCAAGGGCCAAACGAAACACTTTGTGTAATAATAAATGTCAAAAGTTTTTTTTGGTGGAAGTCAAATGCAACTGAAGCATATAGTCTATTTTAATTGTATGAGAATCGTGAATACTCAAAAGTGGCTAAGACATTTCTGCAATCTCTATGATTTTTCTTTATCGATTATCGAAACTGGACATACAAAACAATTTTGACATAAAAAAAAAAGTTTTGATTCTTTTAGTTGATTCATATGGACATTATTACAGTAAAAATTGATTGGCATTTTTGAAAGGAGAATTTTATTGAACAGCAAATATGCTATATAAAAGTTACGCTTTGTTCTGCGAAAAGATGCCGATTTACGTTACAAAGAAGAGTTATGATCTGGCTCTCGATCTGATTTCTACATATGCAAAAATGTAGCCGGAACCAAGAGACATATTTTTTAAGGGTGTCTGTTATCTTTGTTTTTGTTGGCATTAGATCTAAGATTGATAGGTAATCTTCTTTTCTTTGTTTGATACAGATAAAGGATGGCATGCTTTCCTTACTAACGGATTTAAATCATTGATAGGAATATTATATGTGATCAACTAACTGTAATTATAATAAGAGTGTCTTGTCATTCCTAGTCAAATGATCATAAAGTTTCTATTGATTATATGAACGGCAAGTAAACGAATATGTTTTCATATTTTTGTTCAGCCTTAGATTCAGGTCACATAACGATTGATAAAGTAAACGATAGGAAATATAGCTTCTTGTTGTATTCATGGGTCAGACTACTATTGATAATAATAATCGTTCATTGATACAAAGAACTGATCATGAAGAAATTCATGCAACAACTTCAGAAACACGCTCCTGTCTTACACATCATCTTAGACGAATACGAAAAGAACAAAAAGATTTGATGATATTGCGTCCAAAAGAATGGCTAAACGCATTTCGACGAAATTCAAACTATCCACTGTTCGACATAGGTGACATTGATGGTTTTATCGTTCTCTTTACTAACAATTTGGCTATACTATTAGCCATCATTCTAAGTGCGAAAATGATTTTAAGAAACGACATTATCTATGGATGAATGATGCCAGAATGAGTATTAACTATAAATTGAAAAAAAGACTATTGTGTAGTTATAGAATGTCTTTAGGCATGTTATGGGGCAACTTCTATTACGTCTACATAGCTCGAAAGATAGCCTTCAAAGAACACCGTGAAGATGTATGTGTTATACCTTACACGATCAGTACATTAGGTGCATTCGCTTTCATCTATGCTATTGTTCTATCGACTTACAATCAATGCCTTTTAACTCGTGACAAATTTCATTGTGAAGAATTAGCCTATTATGTAGCATTAGCAAGCAATTTCGCCGTTGGTATCATTCTTCTTCTTCTTTGTGTTATCGATGAGTGCATCCGAGGAAATACACCTCACGTGACTCTATTTTCGTCACCTTCCGAGCTGGGATTTGCTGATTTGGCAATGAATGAACGTTTACTGGTAGTTGTAAAGCCAATCGTATTCCTTCATTCCATTTTTCATCGTCATGATTGGATACTTTGGCAAGAGTGTGATATAGTTTCTTTGGTTTTAGACACGATATTTGCTGAACACTCACGTGAAAAATTTAAGCTCGATATTAGGGTGCTTGAATTCATTAGTAGTATATCAGAGTATATATTGATTTAGTCATGGATAGCTTGGCTTAGATCAGAAATTTAGTGAAACAGCTTGCATCTAAACTTAAAAGTGTTTAACTATGAATGATATCGGGTGCTCCGAGTTCCATCCAACCCTACTTATCTGCAAAATATCAGCCTAAAATAGATCAATCATTCGAGGTGTCTTCCTCATAATCCTTGTAATTGAAGTGAATTTGATAGGAGACTGTAACCAATCTTTTATTTTGCTAAAAACACCTAAAGTTCGTTAATTTCTAACAATTTTCCATCAAGTAGTATTTATTTCTCGGTAGAATTTTGCGTGATAATTAATATGATTTTCTTGTATAATCTTTATAGTTAGTTTCGGCCCTATTCCAGTAGTTGTTGTGGCTCTAGTGATTGGTATAAGTCTTGATTGAGCAACATCACTCAATGAAGTTGCATAAGTACGTGACGCATATAAGACGAGGAAAGGTTACAAAATGATCTTTCCAATCAGAGAAATGTTCAAACACATGGATGAAATTATGCCGTATCGCTCGACAACAATCGCCACTGTTATAGCAAACGCGATTGTTATAATTCAATGCCTTGAATCGGCTAGACAAGCCGGAGATTTTTATCCAACTCAGGAAGCTATGTTTGCTAGTGGAATAGGTATTCTGATATCTAGTTTTTTTTTATTCAATTCTTAGCATGGCAAGTAAGAAAACTCCTTCTGAATAAATAATGTCATTCGCTACTGAACGGCGTCATATTTTTGCTTCTTTGTTTCTTAGATGTCAATACATTCATGATGTCTGTCATTTTCATTGTAGCAATAAATCCAATCATTGTAAACTTTAAAAACTATAATAACGTATTCATTTAAGCGCTTTTACAAGAATTTTATATGAAATGCATTGTCTAACCCATTCAACAGTCCCAGTTGAATAGCGAAACTCTAGTTTCATCACTATTAGGGATAACCATTGCAGTCAATTCTAAACGTCAGAATGTAACTTCTTTGTTCATACAATTTTTCTTAACTGACAAATGCGATTTCGTTTTAATAGATCTTTGTCGGTTTGCTAATTTGTGCCGATACATTGGCTGATACTCCTTACCATCACTATCTAGTGTTTCTGCTGGGTCTGATGCCAGTTATTACCGAGTGGGTTCTGAACATCATCATTACAGGTTTCAGTGCTGGTTATTCAAACTTTACTCTACCCAATGTTCAATTCTTATCTAATGTTAGTTCCGTAAGTTCGGCCTTCTCTTATCGAGATTTGATATACTATTTTTGGATGCTAGCCGTTTTATTGTTAATCTTTCACTTTACACAGCGAAGATACTGTTTGAAAGCAGAAGGGTGTGGGTGTGGGTGTGGGTGTGGGTGTGGGTGTCGATTAAGAAAAGAACAGTACTCACACCCCACACCCACACCCTAGCGAGAGTAGTTTATTGTGAAAATTTCAGATAGTTTTGTTGTTCCTATTCTAAAGTACGAATATTGAATCTGCCAGTGTATATGAGCGATGTAATAAAATACGTTTTTACTATAACTGTATTTTAGGATAGGAACAACGAAAAGATCTAAAACTTTCCTAATAAACTACTTTGGTCAAGACCTGTCTCTCCACAAAGTTTCAGATCGAAATTCGGAAATAAGTTTTTGTGATGTTCTACTTTCCTGCTGGAAAAAAGTTTTTGACTGGTTTTTGAGATTTATCAAGTTTTTGGACTAGAATCAAAGAAAATAAAATGTAAACTATATGGTTCGATAGAGTAGTCAATGTTCTATCCAACTATATCAAAATAAGAAGCCTCCAGTGTTTTACATAAATACAGCAACCTACACAAAAACTATTAAACATAACGTAATCAACCTTGTTTATTTCCTATAAGAATTTACTAATACTACATAGCGAATGATTTACATATCAGAGGTTCTAAGAATCTGAGCCATACTTAGTCAATAGACTACGTTTTCTTTCTTTAATAATCTGTTTTCTCTAAACAAAATCTTTTCAATGCATTCTTCAGTAGAATCTTCAATGCAAGTAACTGTCTATAATTATTATGTTTCTTTAAGGAAACAGCGCATAATATACATTAGATTTGAATAGTTCCTAATTTGAAGGTATGAGTTTGAAGTAAAGATGAATAAAAATCCAAACACACCCATACTTCAAGAAGACGATCCAGTACTGAACTATTATCATATGAGAGTTAGTGCGATACAGGACGTAATCGGTGGACGTGATACAATTCAAAATACCGTAATTTCCTTCTGTGAAAGAAACTTCAACGTATGGGTATGATTTATATGTTCTTTTCGATTCATTCACTGACATTCTCAAAAAAAAATACATTTGTTTCATGCTAATTGGAACTAGAATGTGGGTGTATGTGTCTCTCTTCTTCACTCACACCCATATCCTCACCCCAATATCTTACTTCATGTTTATTGTAGTTAATATAAAAGATAAAGATTGTATTACAAAAAAAACTGTAATAATATTTCCTGCATCTTGAAAACCAAAATTTTCATAAATTCTTTATTACAAAGACAAACTAAAGTAACATATTCATTTTCGTTATAATTCGTTAAAAAATGCAACATCAAGCAATTTAACCTTTCCTTATCAACAAACCGATGTGTAGAAGAAATGATCAATCTATTGTTTTGATCATATCAACAAGGTACTTTATATTGTACGTTGATTTTTACTGAGAGAAGAATACATCGAATGTTGGTAATAAAATACATATCGATGCCATAGGCTCTAACGTGATGTTTTTTTAAGTTTGAAAGATAAAGGAATGTTATTTGATCTTATCTATGTATAGCATTTCAATCGTTGTTACTTATTGAATTGTGCATTAGATTGAATGATGAAATCTCTCGTTCTTCTGATCTTTTCTACGAACATTTTTCTAAACGCAAAATGTGATGATGAATCGATAGGTAATTTCCTATTTACAATTAGTAAAGAAATTTGAAGATAATTTGTTAAGGTAATACAACACATGTTGCCTATGGTGAAATCATGGGCTATGCTTCCACGAATGTTCCAGCATATTCCAATGAAAATGACACTTATGTATCGTATGAATCTCATTATTTGTATGGAGTGTATATGGGAATGAAATGGCAATGTGTGGAATATGCTCGTCGATGGTTATTTATACGTAAAGGTTGTGTTTTTAAAAGTATTGTAGGAGCTGCTGATATATGGACAGAAGTGGATAGTGTGCAAAGAGTTATTGATGGAAAATGTTTTCCCTTAAAAAAACATCCTAATGGTTCTCCATTACCACCAAAAAATGAATCATTACTTATTTATACACGTTCAGGAATTGATATGCTTTACGGACATGTTGCTATGATTGTTGATATTCTGCCTGATTTTATTCGAGTTGCAGAAGAAAATTATGATTTTTCTTATTGGTCAAGAAATTACTCTCGAGAAATTCCATATCGAATGATTAATGGAAGTTATTACGTCGAAGATGAATATCCTGTTTTTGGTTGGATGACCGTCGAAGATAATAATCAAGCAAAACCACTAGATGAAGCAACAATAAATATTCTCATCAAATTAAATGGCTCGTCTGTTAATTTTATTTGTCATAATAATGCAATGCATCATTGTTTCTCACTATATTATCTGTTTATTTTCGTCATAATTTCTGTAGACTATTTGATTTAGACTTGTCCATTGAAATGATTTAATACGAAATAAATCTCTATTATCCTTTGCTTTCTACATTCGTTGCATGTTTGAAGGCTCTTCTGGGAACTTCTCTTCTGTTAAAGTAGTTCTTTTTTGGGGTAGTTCTTATGAATTGTGTTGTAAGTTAGATTATATGCAATGACTTATCTCATTTGAATAAGTCTCACAAATTCTGCAGTGTTCATTGTTATCATCGAAGATAAGAGTCTGTTCTTGCCTGAAATCATCAGGGTCGATTGTTCGTACATATGTATGATTTTTTAATGTACTTTGACAGAAAGCAAAATATATTCAGTCATTAAAACAAGTGGACATTGTTCTTTCTTTTTAATTATAACGAAAACCTTCAACATTATATGAGTATTATGATTTTGTTTCACCGAAGAAAATTATAAGATTTGTTTTCATTAATTTGAGTGCAATGTCACTACAATGGGTAGTATGTCTTTATGTGTTGATTACCCAGTCGTTTATAAACAGAGATGAATAGTGATCATCTGTGAGCTATTGATGCTTTAATTTGTTGAATTGGGACTATGATGAGAACGATTAAATGAATACCAGATTTCATATTATAATATTAAACAAAAGATTGGACTATTTGTATATTCAGGTGACATTGACACTCTTTTCGAATTTTTGATCGATGATTTTAAGTTCTAGTCAAAGCTAAAGGACTTCAACGGATCTGTCTTTTCTTTGATAATAAATTCTTACGGATATAACAGACATCTTGATAACATATTCGTCCATCACAGATCGTAACCTATATTTTCGAAACAGTGCCCTCAAAATTAATCAGGTTGTTTCATAGTATTGATCTTGCTAAAAATTTCTTCAGTAAATAGTACGCAAGAAGATGAAATTTATATGTCATAAAATAAAAACAAGAAGAGAAAAAACTGAACTCATTATATCAAATATCTAATGCAGTATGACTACATATCGAAAAATTCGTCTTTTGCTCATTCCCAGTTCACAATTACTCAATGCAGTTCCATGGGCAAGTACGACAAATTCTCTCGATCGCTGCTCGCCATCGACATTATAATCTGGTAAAACTTGTCGAAAATCAATTGATTTATTATTTGCTGACGAACTTGCTCAGTTCACTCACAAAAGAAATAAAAAATGAGATAGCTACTCCTAGATATCAAATCAGGTTTTTCTTACCTCAGTTTTGTTTTCTAGTAATCGAAAAAAGCGGGTGGGTGTGGATGTGTGGGTGGATGTGTGGGTGGGGTGTGGGTGTGGGTGGGTGTGACGAGAAGATCTACATCCACACCGATACCCACACCCACACACCCACACCCACACCCACACCCACACCCACACCCACACCCACCCACACACCCACACCCACACCCACACCTACCCACACCCACACCCACACCCACATCCACACCCACACCCACACCCACAC